AGGGGCAGCGGGCCGGCCGGCCTGTCCTCCCATTTAGGCGGGCCAGGGGGTTTCACCCGGCGATCGCTGCAGCAAGCCCGAAGCTGGGGACTGCAGGAAGGCGTACGCCAGGTCGGCGCTCGGGCTTGGCTTAAACATCTCCGAGGGACGAGGAATTTACCCCTTCCCTTGGCAAAGCTGTTCCAATGGTAAATAATACGTTTGTGTGGAAGTTTTATTCATTTAATTCAAACACCAGTTAGACTCTGAGAGCTGCTGAGAAAATACCAAGGAAAAAGAAGCCAGTGATGACCTTCAGCAAATGCTTTGCTTCCTCGGGACCAAAATCAAATGTTATTCTTTCAAGCAAGATTTGCACCTGTAGCCCGTCACAACTGAAATACAACCATTAATTAACGGAAGATATCAAATGGTATTAATAACTTGCTTCAAATAGAGACTGTACACATGGAGACAGGGAGGTACCAAACCAAATAATACCACCTGCTCCCTAGCTAGCCAGCACTCGCCCCTTCTCTTTCAGACCTGCAAAAGGGCTTCTGTGGCCCAAAGCTGATCTTTCCTCTTCCCAGCCGCACTGTTTGGTCCAACAGACGATGCTACATCTCCTTATTCACCTTGTGCTAGTCTAAACAGTCACTCATCCCAACTGCTACGTCCTTCCCCTGGCATAGAGGAAAATAAATCTCTCCAAACTATCCGTCTTCTAAATGATAAATGTTCCAAGTAATTTTTATTTAGAATACAAGAGAGAGGTACAAATGTATTTACACTGTGTACATATACAATCAAATAATATATAATATCAAAGTTTTGTAAATAATGTTTACATAAATATTTACAAAGTTAAAGTGACAGTTGTTTGTTTTTTTCTGGAAGTAAAACACAGTTTGTGAGAACTTTACACATCTTAGACTTACAATTAATATTAGAATACCTTCTTTTAAGCTTTATGATACACAGCCCTCCTCTCGCGTGTGGCAGGACTCCAGAGGGCGCTTAGAGTTGTCCTTGGGGACAGAGCTGGCCCGGGGACAGGTTTTCTCTGTCCCCAGAGGGCAGTAGAAGTAACAGCCGAAATGTTCCCTCACGGCTGCGGGGAGCAATAGGGAGCAATAGGGAGCGGTGCTGCCGGGGCTGGAGCAGGCACAGCCCGGCAGAGCACAGGGTCCCCCGCAAAACCTGCCTGTGGACGGGCATTTCCAGCTGGCACGTCGTGCCGGGGGTGTCCCCGTGGAACGTGGCCTGTCCCCTCTGCCCATGGCATCGCTCGGAGGCGTCGGGCAAACCCCGACGCATGGCTCGGGCTGGAGGAGGGCAGGCAAGAGGGTCTGGGGGGGGGGGGGGGGGGAACAGACCGTTTTGAAAAATAGGGCTCCCACGGAGGGA